GGACATGTTTTAATGATCAGACAAAAGTCAAAGTTTGTAAATAATTACAAAGGCTGAAGCCATTTTTATGCACATACCCCCTGGTCAACCAAGTCTGTTTGCATATTACTTGCCTTTTCAATAAACACAAATAGGTGAACTGGATATTTTGCTCTATTATGATCATGTCAGCGCTGCAACACATGATGAAGTGTGCAAACCACTGAATACTAAAATGTAACTGAAAATATAATGAAAAGGATAAAAGGAGATTTAGAAGTATCAAACATTTCTGTAAAAGCTTTGTTGGGGTTTTCAATTCATGCTAATCTCCTAGGGAACGAGTGTAATGTGCTTATGCATTATATGACCACGGCCATTCTGTATGCATCATAGTCAATAAAAGCAGTGGGAAGCCCAGAGGTTAAGGGCTCCAAATACATTTGTCACCCACAAAATCTTGGGCCTGTTGCTGTACATTAGTAGCTTATTCATAATAAATAGTCTTGCCTTAAAATGTGTTAACATATCAGGGCAGTCATAGAAACACGACTAGGCCCGAAAAAGTAGCCTGGTTCCATCCAAGAGGGGAAGGGTTGAGAGAACCAGCACCAAAAGCAGACTATAAAAATGTCAGAAAACTTCCACCACCAAAATAAAAAAGGTGGGTCAGTCACAAACTGGTTACCTTTGACAGAAGCAAGAGTCATAGTGCCAGTCAACAAAGTGATAGAACTATGGGGCGAGTGCTTTTCACTCCTCATAGTTCTAGCCAACCTGTGACAATGAGACTGTCACAGGTCGGCTCAGTAGATCGGGAGGTGAGCGACCATATACCGGCGTTCGCTCACCTCTCGATCCTGGTCATGGCTCTCTGCCGTGACAGGGGAGGGGCTGGTTTCCACCCTTCCCGCTCCGATCCTCCAGCGCTGACTGGCGGAACGGACGCGGGAGGGGGCGGGTACAGCTGGCTCTGTCTTAGATAGGCAGAGCCAGCTGTCAGTCACGCAGCTGGGCGGATCCCGGCACAATTGTCGGCATCCACTGCGTTGTCTCAGTATACCACGAGCTACAGTTCGCGGTATACTGAGCCTAGGGTGACGGGAGGACGCTAGTTTGTGTCCTCCTGTTACCCTAAGGAGAACTATGGGGAAAAACCCTGACCCTATAGTTCTCCTTTAACAGAATAAATGCTTCTCGACGTCATTCGACCCAAAACAGAAAAGCAACTGGGCAGAGTATTAAACTTGAATTTGCATAGCACAGCTTGCAAACATTTCAGCATGGGCAAATATCCAAATAGGAAATGCACCTAAATTCACATACCTGAGATCCATCTTCTGACACCATGTACCATGTCCACTCCTCTACATTAGGGAAGGAGTTACTTTTGCAGGTCAACACTCCCGTGTCTCCTTCATTGCCATGTTCTGCTTTCTTGTAGGCCACAACATTAGGTGGAACTGAAGAGGAAGATGTGCACAAACAGTTATAGCAAAATGTCAGACTGCAAAAGTGGTATTATGCAGGTTTTATAAAAATGAAAGCTATAGCTGAATGACGCGTTTACAGCTGAGCCCCAAGTAAAAATCAATAAGCTACTCTTGCAGTGGGGGCATCCCCCAGAATGCAAGGGTTGATTGCAAATTTTTGTCTAAGGGGAACATACATTCAGTTACCTTCTCCCAGCTGCACAACTAGTCCCCCAAAGCTAATTCGTTGCATGCACTCTGATGTCATCACGTACAATGCAGGACCAGCAGTCCAGCATTGCAAGTGAGGAAAACAAGAGCCCACCGACAACCTAGAGCCTCAGAGAAAAGGGCAACTTAATTTCACCCAGGCATTCAGCTTTAATGTGTACCAATCCCTGCAGGGAGTGGTGACTGACAATTTCCGCTCACTGCAGGGAGATGATCGAGAAGCGAGCGAGCGACAGTATGTGTTCGCTCACTTCCCAATCTATTGAGCAGTTTCATTGTCACACGTCAGCTCCAACTATGAAGAGTGTAAAAATCACTCACATCGTCGTTCTCCTGTAAAGCCAGTTTTGCCATCAACACAGTGGATCCAACCTATCTGAATTCTGCTTCTGCCAAATATCCATTTTAACCAAGTGAAGTATGTTAACTACTGGCATGGTAGGGGCACCTATTCTACTACTGCTGAACATCACGATTATATAATCACAAGCATTATAAGACTTTGCTGGTCTTGCACTGAATCTTTCTGGGTAAAAGTTTGTACAATTGCACAGTCTATATAGATCCATATAGGCTTGTGTGCGCAATATGGGGAAAGGAATAGTCCACATATGCAAGAAACATTAAGTCTAGGGAGTTTATTAAAAAGCAAGATTTTACACCTGGTAAAACTAAAAAGTGGTAGCTGTAAAAAGGGTTACTACCATTTTCCCCAAATCATAACCATGTTCTACTTAAGTGGTAAGCACTGTCTAGGAATACTGATGAAGTGTGAGCATCTTGTGGTTCCTGTAACATCTAGGTTTTTCTTTAAGTCAATTGATGTGTCCCTGAAGAGCAACTTGAAGTCTTGGCGGCATGCAGGACTTTGATACATACCCACAGACATTAATCTCCACTTACACAAGTGTCCAGCATCACAGTGGCAACAAAGGTTCTGGCAGCTAAAAGCTGAATAGTAGGCAGGGCCTAGCACTAGAACGTGAACTTAATGTCAACTTGAGTAGATTTAGAAGCACAGCCTGGGGAATCCAAGCTCTATAGTGACAGATTTAATGAAGTTCAGAAGCACCTACATGGACCATAAGGGTTTATACTCTAGTACCAAATTTAGACAACTTAAGACATTGTCAGGCTTACTTTAGAATGCATTCAAAATCTTAGCACCCGATGGTCTGCCAAAGAGTGCAAGGAGAAATTTGAGGAAATACTAGAACATGCCGAGTCAAGATAAAGACAGAGGACATGGATTCAATAGCACTAAAGATCTGGTAATTTGTATACTCATGTGTATGGAACAACAACATTAACATTTGGAAAGGTTGCATTTGTTTGCACATGTCCGCCCATTTTAAAGTGATATAAAGTCAAAAAATGTTTAAGCCATTTCAAATGCTCATGAAATCACTTACAATGGGTGTTGTTCCTTGATGTTTAAAAGTCATACAGGTTTATTCACAAAAGGGTGGAGAGTTTGGAGAAAGCAGGAGAAGTGAACAATCTAGGACAATATAGCTGAACTGGAAAGTGAGCTGAATTGGAGATTTGTTCCAAATCAGCTATGTTGTCCTAGATTGTTCACTTCTCCTGCCTTCTCCAAACACTTCACTCTTTAGTGAATAACCCTGTTAGTTTCACTCCGAGTTAACTCCTCCAAATCAGTAGCTTTAAACATCAATCTTCCAGCGGAAATCCTGCAGAATCAGCTGGTCCTGGCTTCCTGTTTTAGAGTGACTTCTTTGCCTTATGGAGGCACCCTTGCGTGCGTTAGTAAACTGTGCGTCTCTTCACAAACTAGGGCTGCAACCAACTAATTAATTAAATCAATAATGAGAATAGTGGTCTGCTCTGGTCCTTATACGGATAGGAAAGTTCACAGAAGCCAAGCTGTTCTGAAACCTGAAGACTCAAGAGCTGGGGCAAAAATGTAAAGAAATACTTTGCTGGGCAATGTATATTTGTTTGATCAGGATTAATTACCGAAAAAAGTTTCAGCGTTTACTACAAGTTGCACACTTGCCTATTGTGCCTACCTGTTATGTCAATCACTGCATACACTTCAGGAGAAGTCAGGAACTTGCATGTGTATTGCCCAGAGGTGTCTGCGTTCACACCAGTAATACTAGGAGAAATAAAAAAACAATTAAAGCTGCTAATCCATTAAGATGCCAGATCTCATAGCATGCTTACATACAAGGGTGCAGTGCCACCACAACAGTATGACATCGATGTAAATGTGTAACAGTTTAAAGTCTCCAAATAGGTTACCAGCCTTGCTCAACCAGGGTGCCTTTATGTTTTTGCTAAAAGGGAACTTCTGATGGGAGGCACACTCATGTGAAAGGAGTAGGACTCCGATGTGAAGGGAGAAACTCCATGGTCACTGTGTTTCATTGCCTGTAGTCCTCCCCTAAAATCCATCCCAGCCTGTCAAGAATAAGGGCCTGCCATTGATTTTGGGGGACCTCAAGTCTATTCCAGTTTAATTTTTTTAAAGACACTTATTCGGTCGTGTTACAATGTTCTAGCCTGAATGAACATGTTCATTTGCTATATATTATGCCATGTAAAGAATTCACTGATGAAGCCATGCAAGGTTACGTAAATGTACACTGACACACCTTCTATAACTGGTGCAAGGTTGCCCACCTTTGCTTTGCACATACCGCTTACCGAAAAGGCCACACCATGTGCAGCCGGTGTAACACGATACTTACTTGTGGGTTGTAATTTGGGAGGAATCTTCATCTTCATGTATCACTTTGGATCCCTTAAGCCACTGGTGACCAGAAATGGGAAGCATGGAGTCTGTTAAATTGCAGGTGAGCAAATCTCCAGTTATATTTGGATAACTTGTTACAATATGTGGATCTATAAAAAAACAAGAACATTATGCAATTAGAACCACAGTGGAAATTTGGATATATAAAGCTTGCATTTTTCACTCACCGTACATCACAGATGCCATGGGCTCCAATTTACAGCAACCGGTCTTGAGTGAAATACTGGTGCTGCCTTTTTCTTAAAAAAGCTAGTCTGGTGGTCCAGTTATCTTTCTTAAGCTACTGTTGTGGCACAAGTAGGCAGGGCCGGCCAGAACATTAACTTCACCAGCTGCATACTTGTTCCAGTCAGGGATTCACCAGGTACTGAAGTCAGACGATTAGGCAGTGAACCAGCAATTTTACAGAGGTTTCACATTAAAACACAACACCTAATGCTATTTCTGCACACCAACATCTTCTCAGTGGCATAATGCAACGTCAAACCTTTCACATCTAGCCAGTGAGGACTACTGGCTTGGATAGGAAGAAGATCTCTTCATGATCTTCTCTTCTAAGTAGAGGGCTACCACCATCACCACTAAGTAGAGGGCTGCCACCACCACAGTATCTCCACTTACCCAAACACCAAGGCTGCCCATAGAATTTAGTCTAACCCTACGGAGAGCCATTACCCGATGGCCAATATAGGCATATTTTTTTTATTATTCTGCTCTAGCCAAAAGATAGCTGAAACGGACAGGGCTGATTAGAGAAAAAAATGTTTTATATAGATCTCTTCCAAAATAAAGTCTGACATTTTCAGGTATGCAACTGATATCTGCTATTCTATCCCAATGACATTCTGCACCAACATATTTGCTTCGAGCAGAACAAATTATTTGAAACTGATGTTATGCACAACTTCATAATCTACAGCCAATTTAAGGTTACTTTCTACATGCTGTGGAGCATAAATTCTCCCAGATTTGCTCCAAAACCAGAAGAAAAAAAACCCACCATACAGCAGATGCCAGTAGTTCTATGTAAGAGAGAAAAGATAATCTTCCATAGGAGGAAAATAAATTGCCTGTCTAAAAATACAATTCAGGGTAACTTGTAGTGCAACCCCGAATTATTAAACCCATAATTTCAGTTAAGTCTCCATCACAATACACCTTTTGTAAACCTCTGAGGTTGAGTTGGACGCATTGAGAAGTGGTTGTATGATGTGAAGACAAAGCAAGGATATAGAAATCTAGCAGAGGAAAAACCAACAGGCTAGAACTACATGGGACAGGAATAGGAGATGCTCCACAGGAGAGAATAAAAGGTTAGGACATTACAAAACAATCCCATCAGATGGTGACAGCAGTAAGGTAGGATGTCCAACATAAGGAGACTAAAAAGCAGCAGACAGTATGCAGACTTCTGGAATATGCAAAAGTAGCAAATTGGCATCAGGAACAAAGGGCTCCCAAGTGTGCAATTCCATGCCGGAGCCTTTACTGCACAACAGGCTCTGTGCTGTCAGTATTGTGCTTGGAGCTAAATACATTCCAAAACAAAGAATCTGTTTAGAGTTGGAAATATTTTCTTTTGAACCCAGAGGATCAAATGGGAAAAGGGAAAAAAAAAAAAAAAAAAGGACAAAAATAATTCATTGTAGGGGTTTAGCAAACGAGTCTAATACAAAAGAAGTCACAAAATCTCTACACAAAAAGGGAAGAGAAACATCAAGGAATAGGATCCTGGACCAAAGGAACAACGAGCCCAAGCATTTGCAAGGATAGTTCTAATCTATGACTGCTAGGAGGAAGAGGCACTCTGGATAATGAGGGGAGTAGGGCTTCAGGATATCACAGGAACGCTTCACCATTTAGTTGCTCACTCACGGTCTATGACAATAACATTGGCTTGGGAACGAATCCACTTGAAGCGAGGAATCTTGGTCAAATGGTTACGTTCTGGATCGTTGCTGGCACGACACTCATAGGTCCCAGAGTCTTCTGGGCTCAGGTTAAAGAGATAGAGTGTGCTTGTAGCATGGAAGACATAGGTTGTGTTCATCTGTACACGGTCTTCACGGGCTCCATCCCAAAGCTGAGATAAACTTTCGTTGTTATAGTCTGCCTCAAACCACCATTGTATTTCAGGTATAGGGTGGCCGATGGCCTCACAGTGTAGTTCCACTGAATCGCCTGTCAGTCAAAAAACAGAAAAGCAGGTGTGAACAGAGTCAACGCTTGATGTACACTTGGAGCCTTGCCGCTTTAAGTTACAGTATGGTACTGCCATCCTATTACTAGCTACAAAAACCTCTGTATAGCACCTTACAGAAAAGCATATTCAACCTGTTACTACTATTACCCCCATATATATCAAACTAGCACCCCAGGAAATGCTGTTTTTGTATTTAACCTTGAGCCTATTCACACAAGCCTCTCCACTTGCATGCTCCATTAAAGCAGATTGAATAGTGCAGTGTGGCAACTCTGGAAGGGTGTGTTGGACCATATTTTTCTATGTGTACTTGTGGTGACTGGTATAATACAAAGCAGGTCTCCGCAGTGTGTGTGAATGGGCCCAGCATTGTAGAGTTTACAGAACTTTGGGATTATATAATTTAGCAGGCTTCCCACAAAGCCCCCCAACACTGAGCATTCATGTAAAAATACAATTCTTTGAGATAATCATTTTAAATAAAATCTTATTTGGTAGAATTTTGAGGACGCTAAACAGGTAATGCGTGCCATTGTTTGGTTCTTTCATGATCGCTTCCTATTGAAAGATTGATGGGAATGATCATAATGACTATGATTCACCCGGTTATGGCCAACATAATACCTTCATTTGGTGTCAGGCACAAGTAAACAGTAGCATTTTCACATAGATACATTACAAAAGAGAAGACAATTCTAATGTTACTAAACTATTTAAAGCAGTATAGTTGTACGGTGGCAAGACAGTTAATGGGCACTGTATTTCATCTGTGAGCTAATTAGGCTGCGCACAGCTATATATGACAAGGCATAATTACCAGATTAGATTACAATCAGACCAAACAAGAAATAGGCATCACAAGACTGTATAAAATATTTTACTTTAGTACAGCCTAGTAAACACAGATAATGATTAACTCCAACATTCATAGTTTCTGCATGTGGCCTTTGTAAAAAGTGCAGACTGCAGGTTCCTCCTTTCCATTACTCAGCATTTCCAAACGAAAATTGAGCAACTTTTCCATTACACAAAAGTAATAAAATAAAAGACGCAACAGTCAATGCAAAGTTAGGTGGAAAGGCAGAGAATCTTCATTTACAAAAATAAATCTGTTAAAGCGACACTAAAGTTAGGAGCTGAGCCTACAAAATGCATTCAAGTACCCCAACATTCATCAAAAATGTATCTTATTTGTATATTACTCGGCTGTAGATCCTCAAATCATCTCTGAATTGGTGCAGACACTGTCCTTCCTTCTGGAGGGTGGCTACTTTTGTTCCACATGGTCCCTGTGTGTGTGTGTTGTAAAGTAGCCACCACTCCAAGCTCGCTCCTGCGATGGACTATAAATTCATAGTTACATAGTATTTGAGGTTGAATAAAGACATTAGTCTGTCAAGTCCAACCTATTAGGATCTCGTTCTAGGAGTACCTGTACCCCTGTATATTGCGGTCCCTTAAGAAATCATCCAGAAGTTTCTTGAACAATTCCACATTATCTGCTGAAATCACCGCCTGCGGCAGTGAGTTCCAGACCCTAACTGATCTTACTGTGAAGAACCCCCTTCGCCCCTTGTGCTGGAATTTTTTTCCCACCAATTTTAGGTGGTGGCCTCTAGTTTTTGTAATGGAATTAATTTTAAACAATTTATCGCTAATGTTGCTACCACTATTGAACATTTTGTACATGGAAATCATATCCCCCCTTAATCTCCTCACCTCCAATGTGAACATGTTTGAATTTAGTAGCCTTGTCTCGTAGCTCTAGTGTTTGCATTGAGCATTTTGAGTCTTTGTTCTATTCCGCTTTCCGTAAACCACTGGGGTATATTTTGGGTTAAACTGGGAGTTTTATCAATCTTGTCCTTGACGTGTTTTACAGTTTTATTTATCCATATCGGTTTATTCTTGCTCCCTAAAGGTATACACTTTGAAGTAGCAGTATGTAGTGTGTTTTTGAAACAATCCCACATCTGGTCTGTGTTTAGGTTTTGAAATAAGTTTTCCAATTTTAAATTCCCCCACTAGGTTGCGCAGATTAGTAAACTAAAACATGATTGTAGTCCATTACAGGAGTGAGCTTGAAGCAGTGACTACTTTACAACATACAGGGACCATGGGGAACAAAAGTAGGTCAGAAAAAAGGACAGTGCCAGCACAAATTCCCCAGAGTGATACACAAAGAAGATGCATTTTTGTTAATAGTTAAGGTACTTGAATGTATTTAAGATTTAACTCTGAGTTTAGGGTTACTTTAATGCTTGCAAAAAAAAAAAAAAAAACCCACAACAAAAGTACGTTTCTCTATATATACTGCCTAAACACAAACAAGGTTTCTGAACAAGGTACAATTCTTACCGTTCTGTCCATACAATTGTATGGACGATACAAGAGTCAGAATGTCTTAAGCTGGCATTTGCAGTCAATGTTTCTGAACTCACAGCTGTTGACCTTTGTCAGCTATAGTAAAGATCACATCCTTGACCTTACAAGACTGAAATGGGACACTATACAGTAAAAAAAAATAAAAACCACACTTCCCTTTTGGCCAGTAAGGTCCCTTAGGGGATAGTTCATGTCAAATCTGGTTATGCGAGCACACTGGCAAAAATCCAACTTTTTACAGCCATTCAAAACACGCCTGTTGGATGGTAATAAGACACACTCGTCACATGCTAACTGGAAAGCATAGTCTAGTACTAGATGGATTTGCCATCCAAACGCAACTCCAATTATTCTGGGACAACTATTTTTGTCTGTGAATGTACATATTCCCTTGGAGGTAAAAATGGGTCAGGTAACTTGATAAAGCTCAACTCCAGGCAAGCAGATGGATACACAGTTGAAGTACATATATGTGAACAGTTACCTGCTGATAGATTTATA